AAAAAAAAAAAGAATCATGAATCATTGACAGGAGAAATTTTTAAGGTTCGGCAATTTAGAAAACACGAGAAAGACGATAACGCGCCTCAACTTAGGAATGTGGAAAGTTGAAGATGACGCGGGTAATCAACACTGATAAACTAAACAGCACAGGCCTCATTTACTATCAAGTTATTCATCTCTTTGCTAAATTATTTTTTTCCACTTTTCAGGTCCAGTCACTACCATGGCTCCTTCTTCAAGGACTGCATTGATAGTTATGAGCTGTTTGTTTGGTGTTGCCCTCATTGGTGCAATTGTTTGCTTCCTTCTGTTTTGCAAGGCAAGGAAACAATCTAACCATATTCCCGTCAAAACGAACTGCGCGGCTGAGCAGCTTTAACTGTTTTTCACACTAACTGATCCAACAGTTACAACACTGACTGGGGGCCTGGTCAATATTTGTCACCTGGGGGTGGGGTGGGGTAGGGTGGGGGTTGGAGGATTTTAGTTGTGTCACGTTAAATTAAATACGATCCCCCCATAAGACTCTGCAATATTCTCATGATCTCCCCTTCCCCCCCCCGTTTCATTGGCAGTCAATTTTCCATAGTACGTTCCCCAGTTTATACTCTACTAGCGACGACTGATTTCCCTTCCGTTCACCTGAAAACCATCTCATCCCCCAAAATCCTCCGCCCCCCTCACTCCCCTCCCCCCAGACAATGAATAATGTCCGGCCTAATAAGACCCTGTACTGTCCACACTTGGCAGGATAACTGACCTTACGTAGCTAAAACAGGAGTGTGAACATTTGTTAGTGCCTATTTTGTTTTGCTGTTCCTGTATAGTTATTGTTATGTATAAAAGGTTAAATCTATTATCATTTTTGATTTAATTTATTTGTGAATAGCGAATCAGTGAATACACAGCCAAATTTTCAAGATAACTTTGATAAGGTGTCAATGAGTGAAACTCCGCGTGTCTTGCTCATACTTTTTTGAAAGTTTTAAGTCGAGCTATTGGACCTCTTCTGCATTTATAGTTGTACTGAGTACACTTTTGGTGAAGTTTTCTCACTTTTCCCGTGGGCTAATACCCATGGGCGACAAGAAAAATTGTTTTATCTGTGTTCTTATTTCTTTATTTATGGATTTTGCTTCATCATGACGTATTTTCGCTGAAGACTATAACCTAGTTTTAAAGTGAATAAACTTTGAGTGACTTTGGTAGATGGCTGTTGCCCCTCTTAGTTTGCGCTGTCGGAAACACCCGGCTGCTGATGGTCAGGAGCCTTTCAGCTCTTCAAATTAGGCTTTTGAAAATCGGGCAGATCGGAGAGCCATATATAGATTCGACTCCGGTTAGGAGCACTCGTTATCATCTCTATTCTGTAAGTTTTCTGGGTTGTTGTGACAAACTATGACTTTTTTAGTCACTTTTTTCATCATCATCATGCTCAGGGAGAATTTACCATCACAATTTTGATGTTCTGTTTGCCCAACATTTCGATAAGGTGAAGAGTGCAACGTTGTAAGTTATTACAGTCCTGTGTCCTCAAGAATAGGTCATAAGTTTCCGGAACATACTTAGATTTTCCGTGACATAGGCTTAGCTGTTGTCACACAGGCGCAAACAATGGCCTTTACTATATAAGAAAGCTCTTAATTTTAACCTCCGGTCTTATAATCCATTGACTGTCATGGGAAAAGCAGGTTACTTTAAAATCTCGACCATAGGCCCCAAGAAACAGGCTACGATAGGGGTAAACATCTTTATTTCTCATTATCAGCAGCCCTTTATCCTATTATTCCTCAATGTTGGCTAGAAGTAAGACTGCATTTACCCACCTTTCCTTATTGTGGTTTGTGGTATGACTAAGTAACTTTCGTCATTAGCGTCGTCTCGTTGTACGGCAGGATGGCTCGTTCGAAAAGTTATCCAATTCAACGTCGATACGCTCCCCCGGAAATAAGCTCCCCAAGCCGTCCCCCACCCTTCCCCACCCCTAACAGTGTAAGACCACCCCAGAATCCATACGAAATATCATCGTGTAATCAACCTTTGATTACAGATCGGGATTTCTCGGTATTTCCGTCTCCTGGTGAAACAAGAATATGATGCCAAGCAGTGATTAAGTTCGCAGACGCTTAATATATCCATTGCGTTCAGCACACGCGACGTTGTTTGCAAGCAGGAAACAGCGGTACCGCTCAAATCGACTTGGAGGAACTGAACAGATCGAATACAAACTAAGGTAACAGCTTTTACATTTACAAGAGATCTTTCATTTCAAAATATCCTTTAGAAAACTCATCGATAAAAGTCAACAACCGTATTTCAATGAAGGAAACGGTTTCAGAGGGTTAAATTGCTTTCATTTATTTGTCGATTACGTCCGTCAATCAGCAATCTGATATCGTCGAAACAACGAAGAAAGTCTTGCGTACTTCCAGAAGATCACTCCATTGTTGCACCGCCATTTCTTCATCACACGCAATGCTAAGTCCTATCATCTTCCAAAGTAACTTAATGAATTGTGTGAGTCTCATAGTAATGGGTCCAAATAATACATCCCCTACACCTCTGACGGGAATTGTCATTATACTTTTACGTGCTTGCTACGAAGCCTTCTAAACCTCACTTTGAGGAAAAATTCTGTTGTTTTTGAACAAGTTGTCGAGACTAGACAGACAAATTTTAATGAACATCAAATGCAAATATGCCCCGCCATTCATGAGATGGTCTACAGACGACAAGTTCACGCCCTGCGTCACGCCTCCACCAGGACCAGGGAGACTGGAACGCAATCACGAGAAAAATGTCAAGATACTGCACCCGCTAATAAGAAATTTGAAACTACGGAATTCGTTCGTGTGTTGTTAAAAATAATATCCAGGTTGAAATTAGCTGTAGGTACATACAGATAATTATGAGTTAAATAGTTCCGACAATAATTTGCCGGATTTCGACCGCCAGATTTAGGCCAAAACTTAGGGAGGGGCCGGATGTTTTAAAATTACTATGAAACATTATCCTCTCTTATTTGACATTTTCTTGTTTTCTTACTCTTCAGAGGCAATTTGTCATTCAGCAAGGATCAGCATGAGACAGCACATCTTTCTGCAAATTTTCATTGGCATTTTTTCCTTAGGTATTTTCAATGGTAGGTGTTTTATCCAAGGGATGGGTCGTCATTTATCCTTTGGGTTTTGAGGCTTTTGGGGAGGTTCACATGGTTTTTAGTGGGAACGAAGAGGGGAATCAGTCGACACCCACAGAATATTAAAGAGGGATATAGACTTCAAATCAGGGGATCATTAGAATGCAGCAAAGCCTTAAAGGTGATGACATGAATATTATTGCAACACGAACAAAATCCCCTGACACCCCTCCCTCTCCCCCTCCTCCCCTCCCCTCTCCCCTCCCCCCTCCTCCCCTTCCCTCTCCCCTCCCCTCCAGACGCTAAATAATAACCGATTCCGTTGTTAACTTTATTTCAACTTGGATCGGAAGAGCAATACATGCGCACTAGTAATTTCTAACGCTACAGGAATTATTTGCCTTACTGTACTAAGATAGTGCACGCGAACTACACGCGGTAGTACGTCTGGTATTCACACTTCCAACTGTCTTTCTTTCTCTTCTTCAGCTGGATGTAATGCCGCTACTGATTGCCCAAGTCCTCCCATAACATATGCTTCAGAAGGGGATGATATCACTCTGTGCTGGAAGATGTTACCGGAAGCAGTTAACGAGAGCGATAGCTTTCTTAAACGTATTACTGTGTTTGCCTTGAAAAGGCCGGCCGAACTGGACATGGAGAAAATCGCATCGGCAAATAAGACTGGACAATTTTTGAGGGTGTACGATGCAAGTCACAATGGTTTGTACAAAGACAAAGCAACTGTCTTCGCCGATTTACCAACCGGAATGTTTTATCTCAAGATAACAGACTACAATGACAACATGGACAATGTGTATTGTCCCCTTTACGAGATGTCTGGCATTAATGACATTCCCTCGTGTCATACTCAAGCGTTGTTACTGCGAAATGTCGGTGAGTAACTTACTTAAGGGTGGGTTCCTTGGTGTAAGATATTTGTATCAAGCAAGAGATTATAAAATGAGAGAAATTATCCCCCCTACAAACCCCTCTTCCAAAGATTTTTTTTCTAAATATATTTTTAGTGTGCGTTCCTGCGATGTGACTGAAAACAACAACTGATTGGCTAGTGTTTCTGTGGTGAAATTCGATGAGTGATGTTTGGCGACCTGGGGGGGCCTGGGGCGGCCTGTGGTTTGTGGTTTATAATCTCTTGTGTTTACCCTTTAACTCCCAAGATCTCATTAGCAATTCTCCTTACCGTCTCCATACACTTCTTGTGATGGAAGTTTAAAAAAATTGGTATTCGATCGACTTATAATCCCCTAACTGATAGTTTTCTTTTTTCTCGTCACTTGTCTGCTTGATACTGTAATGATATTGTAAGGAGAAATTCTGTCTTGGTCACTCATGGGAGTTAAAGGGTTAAGATATAAAATTTGATGGTTCAAGTTTGTGACTCCAAAAAGCTCTATAGATGACCCCTGATCATTACAGAGTCCTTCGTCACAACATAAGTTCAGTTATAGAGTTTTTACTAAAGGCAACATCATGAGGGGGGGGGGGCATCTTATTGCCACGCTCGATATAAAATAATATTATACCGCCTTCAAAATAAAAGAGGTCTGCAAGAACAGATGAATGAGTAAATATAAATTCTTGAGGTGAGAACCAAGAAGCTAAGCCATCCATGAGGCTGTTAGGAGGGTGCGTCTCAATGAGGCTGTGAGGAGGGTCTCAAGGATGTCAACTGTTGGCCGTAAAGCCGCAAAAAAAAAAATAGCCGTTAGGTGCAGAAATTGATAAATTTTTAACTTTTCGTCGTGAAGAAAGTTAACCGTGAAATTTTTCTTTTAGCTGCAGCTGAAAGAAATTAACCGTTAGCCGTAAGATGGCCAAAGTTTTTACCGTTCGCTGTAAAAGCCATCACCATCTGTCAGAGAATAACCGGTATACTGGTATGGTCTTAAAGCCTGTGTAACAGATTCTCTTCACTGACTGTTGTCCATTTGTCTTTTGTTAGCTCTAAAACCTGCAGAGAACTCCGTGACAGTGGAAGGTAGGTGTTATGAAATAAGCTTTTCTGCCCCATTGCCAGGCTCTCTCCTCTTAACCTCTAATCCCCCCCCCCCCAACCCTCCACCCCTTCTCTGGTTCAAGGGAGGGGGAAGACGGTAGACCCTTGTAACATCGCAATCACCAAACACGTTATTATGGAGAAATTGTTGATAATTCATTGAAAATCGATCGTAGCTTTTTTTAAAAATGTTTCCTCCGTCCATTAGCTACCGGTTTCCAAAATGTATCCGTATGCACCACCTGAGTTCTCACATTGGGGAAACCGAGGATGAAGCAATGCGGAGGGGGGGGGGGGTTGGCTTTAGTGCACGTGTTCCCATCTTTTCCAACAGAAAGTGGTGATTGATGACAAGAGAATGTAATTATTCTCTTGTTGATATACAACCTGGTAGACCATCAAGTACCTTACAAAAAGGTCTTAATGTAGTTAACCCTCAACCGTCAGAGGACCAAAAAATTAACCATGAACCCTCAAAGATGCAGTCGCATCTCTCAATTATTCTTTATTTCCAACTAAAATGGCGTCTGTGTATAGCTAAAAACGGACGAGGTTGTGTCTAATTTTTGGATGGGCAAAGTTTAAGCGCTAGAAATTTCCGCTATACTTAAATAGAAGAAATGGTTATTTGATTATTCGCGAAATTGTATCTTCACGGCAACCGCCTGGACACATCGGTAATATACGTTTATTTCCCTTCCAGGACGATTGTCAACAAGCGTCAAGAATACTCCTTCTGGTTTGATAGTGAGCTGTTTACTTGCGATTGCTGCCATTATTACCGCTGTTTTGTAACTTCAGAAAGCAAAAAGATTTTAAAAAATCTCTTTCAGAACCTGCAATGTTACCCATTTACCTTACCTTTTTCATTTATGTATAGATCAGTATCATGATTGTATTTACCCGATAACTGCGTTTTTTAATGACATATAAACTCTTAGGCACAAACTTTATCGTAACAGTATCGAGCTAAAAATTATCGTTAAACATATATAGAAGAGCAGGAAGAGCAGTAAAAACGGAGGAAGCTCTCTGAAGCATTGCTCTGGCCTGCACTTGCTGGAAATTAATAGTGCGTGTTATTGGAAAGTGTAGTTACGACGTCGCACCTGCTTTGTCTAACAGTAATGATACAACAATGCACAGCAACCAAATAATCAGGGCTTTAGGGCATTTCGAATTGTGTGTGTGCAAGAGAAAATAAACAACAGTTTATAATCTCTTGGTGTGTGGTGTTTCATTTTTTTGTTTATTGTACCAGTGGGTTTTGGTAATAAAGCTTGGTTTTGCTTAGCCTTCGCTTCAGAAAAGTTTCATTTTCTCGATCCATCTCCACGTATTACATTCGTAGTAATGTAAAAACAGCAATAAAACGATTTGTTACCATTCTGATTGCCACATGTATTATTTCTTTCTTCATCTCCCAAGTACTGCCACTGTAAACAAAAGGCCATTCTCGTTGAATCTCCGGAAGTATCCCAGAGTAAATTTTAGCTATGCATGCCGGGATACCTGTAAAGTCTGCCATCGACCGGATCACCTGTATGTGTTTTCTTCGACAGTACCTACTGTACTGTTATACCGTTTTTCTTTGGGGTTTAAGTCGAAAAGGACAGCAAAATCGACTCACAACTAATCCTAAGCATTGAAAGGCTGCTTTCTGAAGAACCTAAAATGGCTCAATACGTTCGAGTCACAGAGGACGATTCGCTACCAGCAATCGAAGTGCCAACTGAAGCAGACGGAACGATTTTACTGTCGACTCTTCAAGCGCAGTTTCCCGGTGCTTGTGGATTGAGGTACAAGAACCCAGAGACTGACAGCTGGAGAGGAATTCGTTTGTTAGAAAACATGCTTTGCCCACCAGCTGTAGAGGGATGGGGAGGGCATTTGTACGTTGTGGTGCAGAAAAATGGTGAGTCTTGCTTACTTAGTACTTGTTTGTTATTAAATGGCGATCGGCTAGCCACAAAATGATAAAAGGTCGAATTGAAGACTTAACAGCCATTTGGATAGTTTATGAAAGGTCCCAGGCAAGAGCTACATACTTCAAAAACCTCCTGGATGATTAAGCAACAACAACAACAAATACAAATCATTCATCGAAATGGGCACTTTACTCATCTTTTGGAAATTCAAATGATATTCTGCCATAGATGCAGTGATTTCTCTGAACTTAATTACCATCTATGACAGTATCATGAAATAAGTATTACTTTCTTCTTTTTGTAATTTTAATTACATTTTACACAGTATCTGTTCTACAGTTCTAGCATTGTAGACCATTATTGCTGATAAACTAGGTTTTAGCTTGGCTACAAGTAAAACCATAGCCTACAGTTAGCCACTTTAGATCCGTTTACATGTCTTGAGTGTTTCATTGGCTTGTCATTCAAGAGCATGAAGCCACCAAAAATTTATGTATACCTTGTTCTGACAAGCCTTGAAGTAGGTGTTCTACTCTTATCTCCCCCATAGGGCTCACACCAGTTTTCTGATTTTTAACACCACTTTCTATTCTCTCCACTCTAATTGCATCAAGCCTTTCCATGGTGTTGATTTAACTACGCATTGATGATCCTTTTCCTCTGATTCGTTTGCTTTTCCTGTCAAGTTTCAGCTAAAAAGTGTATATATTTGACAGATACATTTAGAAGATTGATTTTGATTTCCTTGGCAATTATTTTGCTTTTCTCATCGTAAGTTTGCAAATTATATTCAATCTTTCAGACAGCACTAGTAAAAGAAAAATCGAAGAATCTCCTAACACTAAAGCAGAACCAGAAACAAAAATGACAAAGATTTCTTCTCCAGAGGATGGATTAGGAGACCTCATTGTGCTTGGACTTCCTTGGAAAACTACAGCAGAAGACATGAAGGAATATTTTCAAAAGTTTGGTGAAGTTGTTATGGCAGAGGTTATTATATTTAAAGCTTGATTTAGAATAATTATCTCTCGAAGGTTGAACCATGAAACATACACCTTATTAATTGGTGGTTTAACACACTATATGTTGGGATATTTTGTATTATGTGTTAACTTTAACCATTGAATAAGGTACTTACATCTGCCATATATTTTATATTATTGTCAGGTGAAAATGGATTATGGAAGTAGCAAATCCAGAGGATTTGGGTTTGTGAACTTTAAGGACCCTGAAGTGGCAAAAACAGTTTTATCCCAGGTTCACCGCATTCAAGGTCGCCTTTGTGAAGTGAGATTGCCACGTTGTAAAGTAAGTGACAGGAACAGTGGTAGTAAATAATGTATTTACTGAGCACCAGTATCTTGAACAATCCAAGAATGGTTTTTAAATGGAAGTTGATTGGGAGATGCCCAGTTTTAAGTCAGTTGTAATCTCAGTCAGGAGGTCTGATTTAAGCATTGGCTGAGTCATTGTGTTTTGTTCTGGGGTAAAATACTTCACTCTCACACTCTCTTGCTATGCTACAGTGTGTCAGTGCTTA